TGTTTGTTCTTATTGATCAAAGTTAGTTTGAGTCGACACAGGCGGCCGTGGGTGAAATGTAGGTGGCTGTATTTTTGTTGAGTTATTGATCAAAGTTAGTTGGAGTCGACACAGGCGGCCGTGGGTGAAATGTAGGTGGCTGTATTTTTGTTGAGTTATTGATCAAAGTTAGTTGGAGTTGACACAGGTGGCCGTGGGTGAAATGTAGGTGGCTGTATTTTTTGAGTTATTGATCAAAGTTAGTTGGAGTTGACACACGCGGTCGTGGATGAAATGTAGGTGGCTGTATTTTTGTTGAGTTATTGATCAAAGTTAGTTGGAGTTGACACAGGTGGCCGTGGGTGAAATGTAGGTGGCTGTATTTTTGTTGTGTTATTGATCAAAGTTAGTTGGAGTTGACACAGGTGGCCGTGGGTGAAATGTAGGTGGCTGTATTTTTGTTGAGTTATTGATCAAAGTTTGTTGGAGTTGACACAGGCGGCCGTGGGTGAAATGTAGGTGGCTGTATTTTTGTTGAGTTATTGATCAAAGTTAGTTGGAGTTGACACAGGTGGTAGTGAATGAAATGTAGGTGGCTGTATTTTTGTTGTTCTTATTGATCAAAGTTAGTTGGAGTTGACACAGGCGGCCGTGGGTGAAATGTAGGTGGCTGTATTTTTGTTGAGTTATTGATCAAAGTTAGTTGGAGTTGACACAGGCGGCCGTGGGTGAAATGTAGGTGGCTGTATTTTTGTTGAGTTATTGATCAAAGTTAGTTGGAGTTGACACACGCGGCCGTGGGTGAAATGTAGGTGGCTGTATTTTTGTTGAGTTATTGATCAAAGTTAGTTGGAGTCGACACAGGCGGTCGTGGGTGAAATGTAGGTGGCTGTATTTTTATTGAGTTATTGATCAAAGTTAGTTGGTGTTGACACAGGCGGTCGTGGGTGAAATGTAGGTGGCTGTATTTTTGTTGAGTTTTTGATCAAAGTTAGTTGAAGTTGACACAGGCGGTAGTGGATGAAATGTAGGTGGCTGTATTTTTGTTGAGTTATTGATCAAAGTTAGTTGGAGTTGACACACGCGGCCGTGGGTGAAATGTACGTGGCTGTATTTTTGTTGAGTTATTGATCAAAGTTAGTTGGAGTTGACACAATTGGCCGTGGGTGAAATGTAGCTGGCTGTAATTTTGTTGAGTTATTGATCAAAGTTAGTTGGAGTTGACACAGGCGGTCGTGGATGAAATGTAGGTGGCTGTATTTTTGTTGAGTTATTGATCAAAGTTAGTTGGAGTTGACACACGCGGCCGTGGGTGAAATGTAGGTGGCTGTATTTTTGTTGAGTTATTGATCAAAGTTAGTTGGTGTTGACACAGGCGGTCGTGGGTGAAATGTAGGTGGCTGTATTTTTGTTGAGTTATTGATCAAAGTTAGTTGGAGTTGACACACGCGGCCGTGGCTGAAATGTAGGTGGCTGTATTTTCGTTTGTTCTTATTGATCAAAGTTAGTTGGAGTTGACACAGGCGGCCGTGGGTGAAATGTAGGTGGCTGTATTTTTGTTGTGTTATTGATCAAAGTTAGTTGGAGTTGACACAGGTGGCCGTGGATGAAATGTAGGTGGCTGTATTTTTGTTTGTTCTTATTGATCAAAGTTAGTTGGAGTTGACACAGGCGGCCGTGGGTGAAATTTGGGTGGCTGTATTTTTGTTGAGTTATTGATCAAAGTTAGTTGGAGTTGACACAGGCGATCGTGGGTGAAATGTAAGTGGCTGTATTTTTGTTGTGTTATTGATCAAAGTTAGTCGGTGTTGACACACTCGGTCGTGGGTGAAACGTAGGTGGCTGTATTTTTGTTGAGTTATTGATCAAAGTTAGTTGGAGTTGACACAGGCGGCCGTGGGTGAAATGTAGGTGGCTGTATTTTTGTTGTGTTATTGATCAAAGTTAGTTGGAGTTGACACAGGTGGTAGTGAATGAAATGTAGGTGGCTGTATTTTTGTTGTTCTTATTGATCAAAGTTAGTTGGAGTTGACACAGGCGGCCGTGGGTGAAATGTAGGTGGCTGTATTTTTGTTGTGTTATTGATGATCAAAGTTAGTTGGAGTCGACACAGGCGGCCGTGGGTGAAATGTAGGTGGCTGTATTTTTGTTGAGTTATTGATCAAAGTTAGTTGGAGTTGACACAGGTGGCCGTGGGTGAAATGTAGGTGGCTGTATTTTTGTTGTTCTTATTGATCAAAGTTAGTTGGAGTTGACACGCGGCCGTGGGTGAAATGTAGGTGGCTGTATTTTTGTTGAGTTATTGATCAAAGTTAGTTGGAGTTGACACAGGTGGCCGTGGGTGAAATGTAGGTGGCTGTATTTTTGTTTGTTCTTATTGATCAAAGTTAGTTGGAGTTGACACAGGAGGCCGTGGGTGAAATGTAGGTGGCTGTATTTTTGTTGTGTTATTGATCAAAGTTAGTTGGAGTTGACACACGCGGCCGTGGGTGAAATGTAGGTGGCTGTATTTTTGTTGAGTTATTGATCAAAGTTAGTTGGAGTTGACACAGGCGGCCGTGGGTGAAATGTAGGTGGCTGTATTTTTGTTGAGTTATTGATCAAAGTTAGTTGGTGTTGACACAGGCGGCCGTGGGTGAAATGTAGGTGGCTGTATTTTTGTTGAGTTATTGATCAAAGTTAGTTGGAGTTGACACAGGTGGTCGTGGGTGAAATGTAGGTGGCTGTATTTTTGTTGAGTTATTGATCAAAGTTAGTTGGAGTTGACACAGGCGGTCGTGGGTGAAATGTAGGTGGCTGTATTTTTGTTTGTTCTTATTGATCAAAGTTAATTGGAGTCGACACAGGCGGCCGTGGGTGAAATGTAGGTGGCTGTATTTTTGTTGAGTTATTGATCAAAGTTAGTTGGAGTCGACACAGGCGGCCGTGGGTGAAATGTAGGTGGCTGTATTTTTGTTGAGTTATTGATCAAAGTTAGTTGGAGTTGACACAGGCGGCCGTGGGTGAAATGTAGGTGGCTGTATTTTTGTTGAGTTATTGATCAAAGTTAGTTGGAGTTGACACACGCGGTCGTGGGTGAAATGTAGGTGGCTGTATTTTTGTTGAGTTATTGATCAAAGTTAGTTGGAGTTGACACAGGCGGTCGTGGGTGAAATGCAGGTGGCTGTATTTTTGTTGAGTTATTGATCAAAGTTGGTTGGAGTTGACACATGCGGTCGTGGGTGAAATGTAGGTGGCTGTATTTTTGTTGTTCTTATTGATCAAAGTTAGTTGGAGTTGACACAGGCGGCCGTGGGTGAAATGTAGGTGGCTGTATTTTTGTTGTGTTATTGATCTAAGTTAGTTGGAGTCGACACACGCGGCCATGGGTGAAATGTAGGTGGCTGTATTTTTGTTGAGTTATTGATCAAAGTTAGTTGGAGTTGACACACGCGGCCGTGGGTGAAATGTAAGTGGCTGTATTTTTGTTGTGTTATTGATCTAAGTTAGTTGGAGTCGACACACGCGGCCGTGGGTGAAATGTAGGTGGCTGTATTTTCGTTTGTTCTTATTGATCAAAGTTAGTTGGTGTTGACACAGGCGGTCGTGGGTGAAACGTAGGTGGCTGTATTTTTGTTGAGTTATTGATCAAAGTTAGTTGGAGTTTACACAGGCGATCGTGGGTGAAATGTAAGTGGCTGTATTTTTGTTTGTTCTTATTGATCAAAGTTAGTTGGTGTTGCTCATCCCATCTTGAGAACATTAAAAAACCCAACGTCGGAATGTGACAAGATGGAAAACCATCACGTTACCAATTCCCGTTGACGTGGTGTCTGTCGCCTCTGCATTTTGGCACACCACCAGTTGTTATTTCTCCGCGGCTAATGCTGTTTTACCCTTCCCTCGATTACCATCTCCGCTTTCTCTCCGCGTATGCTGGCCCCGGGGGAGCTCGTTCTTCGCGGCGCTTCGCTCTGATACCGGCATGCTTGGCTAAGCCAATTTGAAACCTTTAAAACATCCTGCTTTCAGTGGCCCCCACCCCCCCCCCCGCCACCTCACCCCCCTTTTTTTCCACATGATAATGGTCAAATTAAAATTAAAATACTCGACAGCAACAACACGTTGAGATTGTACTCAGGCTTACACTCACATGCGAAAGACCCACGAAATTTGATTTGCCTGCAAGTCACGAAACGCTTTAGAATCGAAATAAAAATCTGAAATACAAGTTTAACATATTTTTTTTTACACAAATGTAAAAAAATAATAATAATACAAACGGCCACCTGGAATGCGGCCAGGTGAGTTCTGGCGTCGTGTCACTCTTTAACTAATTCATCGTCAAGGTTTATCGATGATAGTTACTTGGTGTTGACATAGTTAGCCGTGGCTGTCGTTGAGCATCGAATTGAGTGAGAAGTTGGGGCGACCGTCTGCGCTCGGAGTAAATGTTCACGTGACATTAGGGGCAGTCCGTAAATGACGTCACGCGATTTTGGACGATTTTTGACCCCCATCCCTCAAATATGACGTCACAAAGCTCTACCCCCCCTCCCCCCAGAAAAAAACACGCTTCAAATCTCTTTAAACTATCGTCATTGTAGTAGCGTGTATTTAATGTGGCGCCGCACTCTGATGTTATAGGAGAAAACATTTATTTAAAAATGTAATTAAGTAGAACGTGTTGTCCGTGTTTACTTATTTATAAAGTTGCCGCATTTTGATGTGACGTCACATTTCTCAAACCCCCTCCCCCCCCCCCCCTCATCGTCACACATCGTCACAAATGTCCGACCCCACCACCCAAGGTGCGTGACGTCATTTATGGACGGCCCCTTATTACGCAGACGTGCGTACAAAAACACACTGCGCGTGCTCCACTTGAAGTCTGGCAAGGAATGTGAAATGAGGTCACCTGTCACCTGCCCCGAAGGGTTTCCGAACGTCACGAAACCACCGTCGGGATGAGTGACGTGTCGCACGTGATTTCCAGGAATCTGAACGTGCCCCGATCACAGAGGAGCGTTTGTGCTCAACAGGCTCTTGTGTAGGACACAGCGGGACCAGAAACGTCAACAACAACAACAACAGCCACAACAACTGGGGGTGGGCGAGTGAATGAAACGTCGCGACTTCGGCTATCTTGGGGTTGCAAGTGTGAACTGGGCAAGAGCTGGACTGGGTAGGAGTCGCGGGGAGTTGGTGGTGAGGAGAGACGGGGCAGCGTCATGCACCAGTGGAGGAGCATTCTGGTGCTGGGTGGAATGATCCTCGTGGTGAGTTACCTCTCATTATCATATATTACTTCTCATTAGCCCTATTAATTATTATTACTCCTATTAATTCTTATTACTCCTATTACTTCTCATTATCCCTATTACTTCTCATTAGCCCTATTAATTATTATTACTCCTATTAATTCTTATTACTCCTATTACTTCTCATTAGCCCTATTAATTCTTATTACCTCTTATTACTTCTCATTAGGCCTATTAATTATTATTACTCCTATTAATTCTTATTACTCTTATTACTTCTCATTAGCCCTATTAATTATTATTACTCCTATTAATTCTTATTACTCCTATTACTTCTCATTAGCCCTATTAATTATTATTACTCCTATTACTTCTCATTAGCCCTATTAATTAGTATTACTCCTATTACTTCTCATTATCATATATTACTTCTCATTAGCCCTATTAATTATTATTACTCCTATTAATTCTTGTTACTCCTATTACTTCTTATTACTCCTATTACTTCTAATACTCCTATTACTTCTCATTAGCCCTATTACTTCTTATTACTCCTATTACTTCTAATACTCCTATTACTTCTAATACTCCTATTACTTCTCATTAGCCCTATTAATTCTTATTACTCCTATTAATTCTTATTACTCCTATTACTTCTCATTAGCCCTATTAATTCTCATTACTCCTATACTTCTCATTACTCCTATTAATTCTTATTACTCCTATTACTTCTCATTACCCCTATTACTTCTCATTACTCCTATTACTTTTCATTATCATATATTACTTATCATTAGCCCTATTACTTCTCATTACTCCTATTACTTCTAATTACTCCTATTACTTCTAATTACTCCTATTACTTCTCATTACCCCTATTACTTCTCATTACTCCTATTAATTCTTATTACTCCTATTACTTCTCATTACCCCTATTACCTCTCATTTCCCCTATTTCCTCTCACTACCCCTATTACCTCTCATTACCCCTATTACCTCTCATTTCCCCTATTACCTCTCACTACCCCTATTACCCCTCTTTGTGGGGGGTTGGGGGAGCAGTGGTGGGGGATCCTGGAGGGGTGGACTCGGTAAGATGGATGAATATTTATATATACATGGTTCTTTTTAAGACTTTGTGGAATAGCCCAGGGTGCTGTTGCTGCTTCTGCGATGACAATACAACATTGCACCAAGACCTTAACAGCGAACTCAGCCTCCTGAACTTCCTCATGGCAGCCTGTTAAGGTAATGGCAATGCCTTTGTAGAGGCGACATTGGGGTTTCGTGTGATTAAGCTCGGGACGAGTCAACTTCTAAACTGCGAGGTTTAACTCGCGAGCTGAAAACGTGCCGAGCGGATGTCTGAATTCGCCGCTGCGTGGTTTGCTTGTGCAAACGGGGTCCCTGCAGGGTGGGCTGGTAGGAACATTGGAATTTTGCGCAATTTTAATTTTTACACCCCAACAGCACGAGATTTCACTTCGTTAAAGTATTGAATGGGGACGGACGGACGGACACATTAATCTATTGCAGGCTGGGACACTCAGTTTACAATCTTCGTGCCTACCAGTATAAAGGATGTCAGTGACAAGAGTGACTCTCAATGACGTCACTCACGTGGTTAAATAAAGGATGTCAGTCACACGAGATTTCACTTCGTTAAAGTATTGAAAGGGGATGGACGGACGGACACATTAATCTATTGCAGGCTGGGACACTCAGTTTACAATCTTCGTGCCTACCAGTATAAAGGATGTCAGTGACAAGAGAGTGACTCCCAATGACGTCACTCACGTGGTTAAATAAAGGATGACAGTGACAAGAGAGTGACTCTCAATGACGTCACGCACGTGGTTAAATCAAGGATATCAACGACAAGAGAGTGACTCTCAATGACGTCACTCACGTGGTTAAATAAAGGATGACAGTGACAAGAGAGTGACTCTCAATGACGTCACTCACGTGGTTAAATAAAGGATACCAGTGACAAGAGATTGACTCTCAATGACGTCACTCACGTGGTTAAATAAAGGATGCCAGTGACAAGAGAGTGACTCTCAATGACGTCACTCACGTGGTTAAATAAAGGATGTCAGTGACAAGAGAGTGGCTCTCAATGACGTCACTCACGTGGTTAAACAAAGGATGTCAGTGACAAGAGAGTGACTCTCAATGACGTCACCCACGTGGTTAAACAAAGGATGACAGTGACAAGAGAGTGACTCTCAATGACGTCACCCACGTGGTTAAATAAAAGGATGTCAGTCACACGAGATTTCACTTCGTTAAAGTATTGAAAGGGGACGGACGGACGGACACATTAATCTATTGCAGGCTGGTACACTCAGTTTACAATCTTCGTGCCTACCAGTATAAAGGATGTCAGTGACAAGAGAGTGACTCTCAATGACGTCACTCGCGTGGTTAAATAAAGGATGTCAACGACAAGAGAGTGACTCTCAATGACGTCACTCACGTGGTTAAATAAAAGGATGTCAGTCACACGAGATTTCACTTCGTTAAAGTATTGAAAGGGGACGGACGGACGGACACATTAATCTATCGCAGGCTGGTACACTCAGTTCACAATCTTCGTGCCTACCAGTATAAAGGATGTCAGTGACAAGAGAGTGACTCTCAATGACGTCACTCGCGTGGTTAAATAAAGGATGACAGTGACAAGAGAGTGACTCTCAATGACGTCACCCACGTGGTTAAATAAAGGATGACAGTGACAAGAGAGTGACTCTCAATGACGTCACTCACGTGGTTAAATAAAAGGATGACAGTCACACGAGATTTCACTTCGTTAAAGTATTGAAAGGGGACGGACGGACGGACACATTAATCTATTGCAGGCTGGTACACTCAGTTTACAATCTTCGTGCCTACCAGTATAGGCGAGCGCCATCTCCAGCATTATTGTGGGGTCACATTCACACACCGTCAAGCAGTCCACGCATCATGAGCAGTCGGAGATTCTATCCCGGGGGGGGTGGGGAAAGGTGAATGGGCGGAGCTAGCATGGAAGCCTCCGGAACATTCTCCAAGGCTCCCAGAGGGGGCGTGGCCAGGGGCGTGGCCAGGGGCGTGGCCAGGGGCGGGGCTTAGCCTGAGGATCAAAGAGGGGCTCCCCCGTCACTGCCACCTGCTCCACCTGCTCCACCTCCCACCTGCTCCACCTGCTCCACCTGCTCCACCTCCCACCTGCTCCACCTGCTCCACCTGCTCCACCTGCCACCTGCTCCACCTGCTCCACCTGCTCCACCTGCTCCACCTCCACCTGCTCCACCTGCTCCACCTCCACCTGCTCCACCTCCACCTGCTCCACCTCCCACCTGCTCCACCTCCACCTGCCACCTGCTCCACCTCCACCTGCCACCTGCTCCACCTGCCACCTGCTCCACCTGCTCCACCTCCACCTGCTCCACCTGCTCCACCTCCACCTGCTCCACCCCCACCTGCTCCACCTGCCACTTGCTCCACCTGCCACCTGCTCCACCTGCTCCACCTGCTCCACCTGCCACCTGCTCCACCTGCTCCACCTGCTCCACCTGCTCCACCTCCACCTGCTCCACCTGCTCCACCTCCACCTGCTCCACCCCCACCTGCTCCACCTGCCACCTGCTCCACCTGCCACCTGCTCCACCTGCTCCACCTGCTCCACCTGCCACCTGCAACCTGCTCCACCTGCTCCACCTGCTCCACCTGCTCCACCCCCACCTGCTCCACCTGCTCCACCTGCTCCACCTCCACCTGCTCCACCTCCCACCTGCTCCACCTGCCACTTGCTCCACCTGCTCCACCTGCTCCACCTGCCACTTGCTCCACCTGCTCCACCTGCTCCACCTGCTCCACCTGCCACCTCCACCTGCTCCACCTGCTCCACCCCCTTCAGCTCGAGCCGCTCCACAGCGCTTGCCGCTCGCCGGCGGTGCGGTTCAGAGCGAGGTCGAGCACCAGCAGCAGCACCAGCAGCACCATGACAGCGGGTCGGCGTCAGCGGAACGAGAGGAGTGGCTGTGCCAGAGACTTTGAAAATAATAATAATAATAATAATGACCAAATTTTGATTTAAAGCTTTCGTGACTGCAGTAATTCATATTCTTAGTTGAGGACATTCAAAAAAAGGTGGCTTGCCATCTTTTTCGACTTCCATGGTAAATCTGGTGGCTGGGTGTATGGAATTGATGTGGTCGAGGAATTGGTCTAGAGCAGGCCGGCCATGTGGCCAGATGACAAAAGTGTCATCCACATACCTCTTCCATAAGGTTGGGCGCAGAGTGGCAGTCTGGATGGCGTCAGTCTCAAATTTCTCCATGAAAATGTTGGCTACAACCGGAGATATGGGGGAGCCCTTTGGGGTGCCCTCAGTTTGTTTGTAGAAAGTTCCATTCCAAGTGAAGTATGTATTGGTTAAACAGTGTCTCACCAGGGGGGGGTACCTCAGTGTTTAGTCCTTGATGAACCAAGTATTCAATGATTGCGATGGTGTCAGGTACAGGAACTTTGGTGAATAAGGAAACTACATCAAAACTTTTGATTTAAAGCTTTCGTGACTGCAGTAATTCATATTCTCAGCTCTTTCGGTAAAGTCACCACGTTGAAGGGAAACAATAAAATAATAATAATAAATCTTCTTTGGTTCTTTCGGTAAAGTCACGTAGAATGAGAATAAAGTAATAATTTGATTTATTATTTAATTTATTATTTTATTCTCATTCTACGTGGGTGGTGACTTTACCGAAAGAACCAAAGAAGATGAATCATTGCAGTCACGAAAGCTTTAAATCGAAATAATAATATATATAAAACAGTAAAAATTCTCACGACGTTTCGACCATAACACCTGATGACGACCGTTTGTGTTATGGTCGAAACGTCGTGAGAATTTTTTTATTGTTTTATATATATTTTATTATTTTATTGTTTAAAATATATTTTTATTATTTTATTGTTTCCCTTCAACGTGGTGACTTTACTGAAAGAGCTAAGAATATGAAATACCGAAGTTATTTACCGTGTCGGAGTCACTTATTGCACTCGGGCTGATCTTTCCATCGGAATGTGTTTTTATTTCTACCCATTAATCATCAAATCATTCCGGCAGGGTGATGATCGATTCGACATACAAGGCGTGCGTGTGCCTTGTCTGAAGACAATTCTCCGCACAATTTTGTTTTTTTTATTTTTTTACCCGAGTTGGTGAACACCAGGTATGGATGGATTCGGGACACAAAGTGGCAATACTCACAAACTCATCGCGGAAACAACAGCGGCAAAGCCTTCCTGAAAGCACCGGCACTGTCGCAGCTGGCAGAGTGGAGACGTCTCGCGACGTCGCCCGCGGTGACTCCATTCTGCGTGGATGTTCTCTGCAGGTGTGTTATGCACTGCAGGAGCTGTCAGCCGGTGACTCCATTCTGCGTGGATGTTCTCTGCAGGTGTGTTATGCACTGCAGGAGCTGTCAGCCGGTGACTCCATTCTGCGTGGATGTTCTCTGCAGGTGTGTTATGCACTGCAGGAGCTGTCAGCCGGTGACTCCATTCTGCGTGGATGTTCTCTGCAGGTGTGTTATGCACTGCAGGAGCTGTCAGCCGGTGACTCCATTCTGCGTGGATGTTCTCTGCAGGTGTGTTATGCACTGCAGGAGCTGTCAGCCGGTGACTCCATTCTGCGTGGATGTTCTCTGCAGGTGTGTTATGCACTGCAGGAGCTGTCAGCCGGTGACTCCATTCTGCGTGGATGTTCTCTGCAGGTGTGTTATGCACTGCAGGAGCTGTCAGCCGGTGACTCCATTCTGCGTGGATGTTCTCTGCAGGTGTGTTATGCACTGCAGGAGCTGTCAGCCGGTGACTCCATTCTGCGTGGATGTTCTCTGCAGGTGTGTTATGCACTGCAGGAGCTGTCAGCCGGTGACTCCATTCTGCGTGGATGTTCTCTGCAGGTGTGTTATGCACTGCAGGAGCTGTCAGCCGGTGACTCCATTCTGCGTGGATGTTCTCTGCAGGTGTGTTATGCACTGCAGGAGCTGTCAGCCGGTGACTCCATTCTGCGTGGATGTTCTCTGCAGGTGTGTTATGCACTGCAGGAGCTGTCAGCCGGTGACTCCATTCTGCGTGGATGTTCTCTGCAGGTGTGTTATGCACTGCAGGAGCTGTCAGCCGGTGACTCCATTCTGCGTGGATGTTCTCTGCAGGTGTGTTATGCACTGCAGGAGCTGTCAGCCGGTGACTCCATTCTGCGTGGATGTTCTCTGCAGGTGTGTTATGCACTGCAGGAGCTGTCAGCCGGTGACTCCATTCTGCGTGGATGTTCTCTGCAGGTGTGTTATGCACTGCAGGAGCTGTCAGCCGGTGACTCCATTCTGCGTGGATGTTCTCTGCAGGTGTGTTATGCACTGCAGGAGCTGTCAGCCGCCACAGAGTGTGGAAATGGATTCTACAAATCGCCACAAGGAGTCTGCTGTGAGCTGTGCCGTGCAGGTAAAGCGACGCAAAGACACGGAGACCCACAATCCCTGTGGTGACCGGTTGCTTCCGTTAAACCACCAAGTCACGGCTCAGCTCCTGTGGAAAGGAAACTAAAATGGAATTAACTTTTCCCCCCCCCCGTGACCTGGCAACAATTTGGATGTCAATGGTGGATACTGAAAGAAAGAAAGAAACGTGTTTTCAGTCGAGGCATTGTGCTCTTGATCACACCTGAGACATGTTGACTTGCCAGTGCAGCTCGATCTCACCAACTTGTGGCCGTGTGTTTGTGTTTGCAACAACTCCGTTGCTTGCTCACACCGTTTTGCCTTTCAGGGATGCACAAAGTGGCGGACTGCATCGGTGATGGATTGGGCGCCTTGTGTGAGCCGTGCCCGAGAGGCAGATTCATGGACAGGGACAGCCAGGAGGAGGCGTGCTCGCAATGCAGCAGCTGTGGACCAGGTAGATGACAGCACAGCAAGTGGGTTGTTGCCGTAGATGTGAATTGTGTTTGACATTTGTAGTTTTTCAATGCGTGGCAGGTTTGGTCTGCATACTCTCAATTCAACCAGCATTAAAAAAAAAACACGGGGAAAACTTAACGAGGAACCTGAACGAATATTCCAAGCAAGACAATCCCACCTCAAATTATATTCCAATTGTTCTAATCAGAAATCTTGAAAATAGAGCTGGGCTCATGGTCTTGATCGGATGAGACACAATTCGCCTCCTTCTAATGAAATTAAGTGGAGGATCACGCCCCGCAGTGAATCGCTCAGCCAGACGGTCAGAAAGGCGAGGACCAACAGGCTGCACATCTAAAAACGCCAATCCCAAAGGGAATTACAGGGTGGAGGGTGTGACCATGTCTGCGAGTGGGTACATTCACATGGTGGGTGAGACCAAAGCAATCAAGCGGAGCCAAGATGCCCCCCGCAGACAAGGAGCAATTCCTGGTGTCGACACGGATGTTGAAGTCACGTGGGTAAAAAATAAAACAACAAAAATCACGACGTTTCGGCCACAACACAAGTGGCCTTCATCAGGTGAAGGGACCAGACTGTCTCTTCACCTGATTAAGGCTACTTGTGTTGTGGCCGAAACGTCGTGATTTGTGTTGTTTTATTTTTTTACCCACTACGTGACTTTAGCGAATGGAACCAGAGGGTATGGATCCTTGCAGTCACGAAAGCTTCAAATCTAGAACGGATGTTGAAGTCGTCCAGAATAAGCATCCTGTCATAGGTTGGGCACATCACGGTGATGAGCTCGGCAAACTCGTGGAGGAGCAGACTGGTTGACTTTGGAGGACGATATCTCGGTACCAGAAGCACGGCACCGGGATACTTCTCCACGCAAAAACAAAAACACTCAAACTCTCGGCTAGGAGGGATAGTAGTGTAGCACATAGCCTAATGTATATTATTGTAGTGTATAGTGCAGTGTATAGTGTCGTTTGTAGTACTGAAGTGTAGTATATAGGAGTGTATAATTAAGTATATGGTGTAGTGTATAGCGTGGTTTATAATTGTGTAGTGTATAGTGTAGTGTATAGTGTACATAATAAAATGTTTTTGGGTTAGATCGCGTTTATTTATAAATGTGTCGTAACCCTCCACCACCCGACACGGCCAATCAGCAAAAAAAGTGTCACGTTGACAAAAGACAAATAATTCACTACTTCAGCCCACCGGTGTGTTGAAGAGTTAATCCACATTTACAGTTTGAGTACGACGTTTCGCTGGTAAATACATCCAGCATCATCGGGCAATTCGCCAGAATGGTAAAGCCCTCGCTTGCTCCCGGTTTTATATAGAGCAGCAGGGTGACGTCATCACTTAACTCATCAGGTGCAGTGATTAGAGGCGGAGGGGGGGGTAATGTAATTATATAATCGATTAGTAATCAGTCATTGGTTATGATTAGTAATGAGTTGTAGATTAGTAATTCTTTAAATCAAAATGTAATGTGTATTATTTAATAATACGCTTCCAGGCCGCACTAAGCCGGTAGCTGTCAGAGCTATTAAAGTTATTCTTGTTCCTCTCAATTTCAATGGATTCTCTAATTAGTCTTTGCCAATAATAATTAGTTTTACACACCACTGCAACATTGTCAAAATCAATTGAGTGTCCTTGTTGACAAGCATGTTCTGCCACTGCCGACAGTTGTGTTTGAGATAATTTAATATTTCTCTGATGTTCTTTTAGTCTTACGCTGATGTTACGTCCCGTCTGCCCAATGTAGCAGCTGCCACATGAACAATTAATCCGATATACACCTTCTGTTGATAGTTTAGGTAATGCGTCTTTAGTGCAAGATACTAGTTTTTGAATTTTGTGTACTGTACCAAATCTTACTGTAATGTTTTGCTTTTGCAAAACGCGGGCTAATTTGTCAGTTACTCCTGAGATATATGGAATTTTTATTGTTTTAACAATCTGGTCGCTTTCAGTAGTATTGCTTTGCGATCGTGATTTGGCATTCAGTGCTCTGTTAATTTGAGCATTATTGTAGCCATTCTGTCGTAGTGCGTCTTTAACGTGTTTAATCTCTCTCACTAGACTCTCACCATCTGACACTGTTTTCGCCCGATGTACGAGCGTCTTGATAAGAGAGGATTTTTGAGCTGGATGATGATGTGATTCTGCATTCAGATAGGCATCAGTGTGCGTTTGCTTTCTGTAAACGCTGTGTGTTATTTTACCGTTTAGGCCATGTCCAAGCAAAATATCTAGGAATGGGAGTGTGTTATTCACCTCCATTTCCATGGTGAACTGGATGGCCGGGTTTTGTCCATTGAGATGATTTAGAAAATCATTAAGTGTATCTTTACCATGTGGCCAGACAACCAAAGTGTCATCCACATACCTAAACCAAAAGGATGGTTTTAATGTGCTCGAGGCAAGTGCTCTTATTTAAAAGTTTTCCATGTACAAATTTGCTATAGCAGGGGATAAAGGAGAACCCATTGCTGCTCCTTCCTTTTGTTTAAAGAAATCCCCTCTCCATAAGAAGTAAGTGTTATTTAAACAATGGCCAGCAAGTTTCGGAATATCTTTTTGTAAACCGGTATTCTTTACTAGTGTATCAAGTAATTTAAGCGATTCGTCCACTGGAACCTTAGTGAATAGAGAAATCACATCAAAACTTACCAGAATATCATCAGGAGTAAGTTTAATATCTTTAATCACATTCACAAGATGTTCTGAATTTTTTTATGAATGAAGATGTCTTACCGATGTAGGGCTGTATTTGTTTGGTTATATATTTTGCCAATTGATATGTGGCAGAGCCAATTGTACTGACTATGGGTCGTAATGGGATGCCGATTTTATGAATCTTTGGTAGCCCATAGAGTCTAGGTGGTTTTGAGGCCCTTGGCTTAATTAGGTATTGCTCATTTTTAGGGATTAATGAATTTGCAATTATTGCAGTGGTCTTACGTTCTAAAGTATTAGTTGGATCTCGTTTACTTTTATTGTAGGTACTTTCCTCTAGTAAATTTCTAATTTTATTATCATAATCGGCTCGTGACATCACTACAGTAGTGCGGCCTTTATCAGATGCTAGGATTTGGATATCATTATTTACACGCAGCTCTCTTAAGGCTTTTGCCTCGTTAGAGCTAATATTTACTTTTGGAATTTCGATTTAAAGCTTTCGTGACTGCAATGATTCATCTTCTTTGGTTCTTTCGGTAAAGTCACGTAGAATGAGAATAAAATAATAAATTGATAAAATAAAATAACACAATAATATTCTCACGACGTTTCGGCCACAACACAAGCGGCCTTCATCAGGTGAAGGGGGCGAGACTGTCTGGTAGGACAGCGCTGGAGTGAGAGAGCCACGTTCAGATCACGGCTTTTTAAGCTGTGTGAGAGGAACAAAGAGCCTTGACACAGGAATTAGCATAAAATTTAGCATTGAAATGGCTGAATGATTAGCTTGTGACTGGTCACAGAAATAGCTATGTTAAAAGTTAAAGCATACACATCCGCAGAGGCACCCATTGTTAAAAGGAATTAGCATAGAATTTAGCATTGAAATAGCTAAGTTAAGGCATACACATCCGCAGAGGCACCCCTTGACAATGGGATTAGCATAGAATTTAGCATTGAAATGGCTGAGTGATTCGCTTGTAACTGCTACAGAAATAGCTACGTTGAAGTCAGAGCATACACATTCACCGAGGCACTTAGTACAAATCAAACAGGAGAATTTAGCATTGAAATAACTAGGCGAATTTAGCATTGAAATAACTGGGTGATTTGCTAGTGACTGGTCACAGAAATGACTACACATCTGAGCTATTCACAGTACTATATAGTGAACCAATAAAAACTAAAATATAAATTACCTTCATGTTATCAATAAACTCTATATTCTCCAATCAGCTAAGCTACCAACCATAAGTCGTTATATATCACAATGCTATATGGCGAAAAAATGGGTGGATTCTTACCCTCAAATTTCCGTACCACGGATAGCTATGGGCCCCGTTCAGACGGACGAGTTCGTCCATGGTCGGAACAGAGGAGGGGGAGAGAGACAGCTGCGAGGCCCTAGTATGCTCCATGTTGTAAACCATACCATTAACCGTGGTGTGAGAGGTATTAAGAGGCAATGCTGGCGAAAGAGCTGCGGTCTGAAGGACATCGTAAAATTACAATTAATTAAGAACAGAAATGATTTAACACATCTTTCCAGTGGTTACTAAGCCTGAATCCATCTTCTCGGTTGAAATTGTCTCTGTGCTTGTATATGTGAATGGCCTCATGAACGAATCTCTCATGGTAGCCGGTTGGTTTGCAAAGAACCTCCGTCTTGGAGAAGTCAATGTCATGTGAGCCCACTGAATTGTAACAGTGGTCTGCCACGGCAGAGGAGTTCGTCTTACCGTGTTTCAAGTCTGCTTTATGTTCGCGGATGCGGTCCGAGATATGTCTTTTGGTTTCTCCAATGTAGCTACTACCACAGAGGCACTTTAGTTTGTAAACGCCTGGGTACTGTATGTCTGGAAGAGCATCTTTTACAGATGGAACTAAATCACGGATTTTGTGTACTGTGTTGAATCGGACCTGGATCTTGTGTTTATTCAGGATTTTGGAGATCTTTTTAGTGACCCCTGCAATGTAGGGTAAGGTGATGGTTTTGAGTGGCTCCACAAGAGGATCCTTCTTCATGACTGGAGTGATGGCTTTGCGGATTGTGTAGTCGGAGTAGCCATTAGCCCTGAGAGCCTGGTGTACGTGCTTGAGTTCACTGGTAATGTGTTCCTGGTCGGAAATGCATTGGGCTCTATGGTATAGAGTCTTGATGAGGCAGTTCTTCTGGGATGGATGGTGGTGGGAATCCGGTTTCAAGTAAGCATCTGTATGGGTAGCTTTCCTGTAGACAGAGTGGCTCATTGAACCATCATGTCTCCTTTTAATTAAGACATCCAGAAAGGGTAGTTT